CGCGCCGCTACAGATATGCTTGTGATTGTTGTTTGGGCCGTAAAGACGGGTTGCTGAGGCACAGTCAAGCCTCCGCATCGCGAGCCTGACCGGACCGGCACTGTCGTCATCAAGGGGCCTCGATCGACAGTGAAATGAGCAACAAGCTGGATGCCGAGACCGACAAGTGGACAGGCCATGGAGACTCGATGTCATGGGAGGAGTCGAAACACTGCAGCAGTACACAGTTCAACCAGCTGGTCTGCAGCTGCGTACCGCGTAAGTGCAAGCTGCACCAGCAAGGGATCGCCCTGGTCCTTTTGTTTCTTTTTCAATCTGGTAATGAGCTGACATGAGAGGTTTCTGGTTGTCGGGTTGAGCAGTATACCATGGCATAGGGACGAGCCCCGAGGTATCGTACATTGTCCCGTCCTTCATGCCTTCCTGACGAATACCTTAGTTATTCACAGCTGCGGGATACCTACAGTGTGCACTTTCTACCTTACCTGACTGCCTCCAGTCCACCTCGTCAGTGGACCCGGCTGCAGAAGCTGCCTTCCGCCGGCTACTGGGTAGGTACCTCACCTTGCCCGCTCTTTCGTTTGCCCATTTGTTGTAGTGTATCTTCGTGCCTGCCGTAGGGCATGTCGTTCTCGGGAACGGCAGGACCTGAAGAGAGACATGGGAGGTACATTGAGTCCATGCACTGTACTGAGTAGGTGTCAGTACCTGCTGCGTACCCGCAGATGCCAAGAGAACGCATTTGCTGCATTGGGGAATTTGTGGAGCCATAGACCCGCTCCACTCTCCCTAGACCCACAGCCGCACCTTAGACCCCGTTCCCCAAAGGCCGTTACGGTACGTACGGCCTGCCAATCACCAATCACACGGGAAAGTGGGTCCAGACGTGGACGAGGCACTCGGCCGTTTCCCTCTGCCTCTTTCTCCTCTGGCCCCGACCTCCACGCGCTCGCACTTGTGTGTCGATTTTTACCCATGTCCACCCCCAAACTGAGTCTGAATCGTCTCCCGAAATCTCGTCAACGGTCGTCCGTCCCTCCCTCCCACCGCACTCTGCGGGAAGCAGAGTCTCTTTCTCTCCCCTCTTCTTAACCCCCCCTCGCCATCTGTGGCAATACCCTGTCACCCTTTCTCAGGCTCTGTTTGTTCCATCTCCCACCCGCCTTATTTCCAGAGCCATTCCACCATTCGTTCAGCCATTGGAACAAATCTCATCACAATATCCACAGCCCACCGGCATACTCCACGACCTGGCCACTACGCATACAAAGAACTGGGCTACTTATACTACGTATATTACGTGCAGAGCAGAATACGCATAACGTGCGAACTTGGCGTAGCCATCTATCATTACTGTATGCTCCGTTTCCCAACTTCCTCCCATTCTTGTCTTACCTTTTTCTGTCAATCAAGGCTCGCAGCCAGTCACTCAAAGTTGATGGTCTAACGGCTGCTGCTCTGTCTCCAAGATCAAGTCTAATCCCTCTTTCCTCATCTCTCAACTTGCTATCCCCTAGGTGTTCCGTGTCAGCGGCAACTCGGGACTGCCCCGTCAAGCCGATCCATGCTAATCCGGGCATCCTTGGTGTTTACGTCCGTAGTGCGTGCGTAAAGTTTTAAATTGTGCGGACTGAATAGCCCCCAATGTCACAATATGCCCCCCTCCGTCTTCATACATCGCCGCCAGCGACTTGATCTGCATTTGCGCTGGCCTTCCACCGCCCGCTGCCAGGTAGAATTGCTTTTCGACATTTACCGAACACATCAGTCCTTTCCTTTGGATCTTTGCTTCATCCGCCCCATGGGACATGTGGAGTGAATCCAGATATGCGGTCACAATGCCTGCTCAAAAATAGCAGTACAACGAGTTGCATTGCCTTCAACTCCATCGACATCTGCAGTGCTCCGTTACCACTTACTTGCGCCGGTCATATCTGCATACCGGCTGGCATTGTTCTGGGTCTGATCATTTGCGTTTCATCGCAATTGCAACTGTCATAGGTCCGGCTTGCTCTCCGTCTTCCATATTCAAGAGCCAGCGGACGCGGTCCCGATGTTGATGCTCTTTTGCGGCGGAAACTGTTAATTTCTTCAAAGGCCCCCTACACCCCTGTCTGCGTTGATTGCGGCAAGAGAATCGCAGCCCGGAGATTCGCAGAAATTGGCTTCCGAGTCTTTCCCACATCACCATCCCCTGCCTTGTCCTGGCTGCCCTACAAGACTACTAACTCCATACATACCGTGCACCATCAGCCCAACCCAAGAAACAGAAGTTTGGGGCGCCGCATTCGCACAGCGACGCTCTGTCCATGCGCCCGCTCTGATCTTGCTGGATAGGCTTGAAGCGAGCGAACCCATGAAGGATACCCATCTAGAATGGCTATTTAATCTATGTTAGACTCCATCAGCCGCTCTATTCACGCCATTCGCGTCAGGATAGGTAGATCCTGGCCCGAGCACGCTGGACCGCAGCTTGACTGGAAGCATTATCCGAAAAGAGGCACAGCTACCACTGCAAAATGGGCACAGCAAGAGACCGGAAGGCGGTGCGGTGTCTTTCATGGGACAGGACAGGCAAGCGAGACAAGGTAAAGCACAGCTGTGCAGCAGAATGGGATGTGAAAGTCTTGGTAGTGAGTGGCCCGGATCAACCATTCCAGCTCGAGGCTTGGCCATCTGTGCCGTTCTCCTCCTCTGCCTAAGGTAGTGTGATGTGCTGCTCTTCTCTCGCTGCAATCCGGGCATCAAACTCCCGCGCCTTGCCACCCCCAAAGCCCTACGGCCTATGGCTGCCTGCTTTGCCTGCCTGGCGTGTCTTGTGTGTCGTCCGGATCCCCAAACAGAAGCAGTCGAGGTCGTAGTATGCCAGTATCCGAGATGGATGCTGCGACCGGCTCCGAATCTGCTGTGCTGAGCCCTGCTTATCAGTCGTTTCCTTCCCCACCCGTCCCACACCTGTCAATCGTTTAGGCGCTTCGAGACGGCCGCAGACGAAGCAAGCCAGGCGAGTGAGTGCCTGGGAGAAAGTCTGCTATGCTATGCTATGCTACGCTACCTACGCTACAGCTATGTCCTCACCGCGATCACTGGCAGCGTCGGTGAAGACAGACATGGAGTGCATTTGCTGTAATGGGAATGTAGACGGACTCGAGCTGACCTGACCTGACCTGACCTGGCCGGTGGCCTGGCCTGACTGGGCTACGCTGCGCTGCGACTTGACTTGCGTCTGCAACTGCGCGACTGCGTCTTCTTGCTGGCACTGGTAACCTCTTGGGATCTTTCCTTCTCCCCTCAGTCTGTCCATCTGTCTGGCTTCTGCCCTTGCTGCCGAGTCCTCGACCTTCTGCCTCTCCTCCTCCTCCTCCTCCACCACCACCCCTCGTTCATGGTGTTGTGTGGGCACACACCCCCCTCCCCGCTCTATCTCTCTTTCTGTTCCTCGTCCACCCCCAAAGCTCCATCTTCTCCTCGTCGTCGTCCGCAGCCCGGTGCAGCTTTCAAATCGACCCGCTCCTACCGCTACCCGCACTCAACAGCCCCGGGCGGCTATCGCCTGCGAGTGAACTAGCCCCATCCATGTCCCCGCATGCGACTCTCTCATGGCCCGTGTGCAGTATACAACGGCTTCAAGTACCTCGTGTACCTCCAGCATCGAGGTCCCCCGGTCACTTCTCAACCCACCCCGGCGATGGTCCCGCTGCCTACTGTGCCTTTCTCTGCGTCGTCCCAAAGAGTGGGCTGGCTCAACCTGGACCACCTAGCCCAGTCCCCTCAGACGGACCTTCCCTGCAGAGAGTCCAAACCTTTTGATCGGCCATTGCTGTCCACTTCTCTCGTCATTAATAGGCCGCGACCTTCTTCCTGCCATCGCGAGGCTCTCCTCCTCCATTACCTACCTTACATTTCAGACACGCCCCGGTCCAGAAAGGCTGACTTGAGTTGCTTTTTCAACTACTTCTTAACCTGCCTTCCCCCCTCTCTGAACCACAACACATCACACACACAACAACGCACATGCGCCTTCGAGGAGTGGACCGACATCACACCAGCCCTCGAGACGTCTCTCAACAACACATTGAACATTAGCAATCATCACCTACCATTGCTGTGGCAACTCGTCTCCAGATATTCACCTCGCCATGTCAGACCAACACTACATTGATCATCAACAAGACGGATATAGAGACCCCGTATCCCAAAGGTGTTCTCCAGTGCCCCAGGCTCTCACAAACAACTACCCAGACCTTAACAACAGTCCTCCCTTCAACGTAAGTTGCAATCACCTGCGTCACATCCATCATTGGAAGTGGCGTGCCCAACCCATAGAATCTAACCAGTCAAAGGTTACTCAAAACGAGCCGCATCATCTCTTGACTCCGCCATCCGGCATCAGCTCGCCGCCTTCCATCCATCAAAACGTCAAAATCATGCACCACCCCGCCGCAACAGCAACCATGTATCACTCCAGTCCGCCCGCAAACAACAGGATGTGCTGGACCAACCATTACGATCTAAGTGCTCCGCACAGCCAAGCTGCTTCTCCGATGCCCATGAACATGCACCCAGAGGGCCATTTTGAACAGAACTATCTTCATGCCGAGCCGCAGATCAAAGACGAAATCCCCGAGCCACCTCCAGGGTACCCCGATTTCGGCTCTTTTGGTGTTTCCGGGCAGCCAGACTCGGATCATGGCTCTTTGTCTCCTCAGCTTCAATCGAACTTCTACCCCATTCCCCAAGACGGTGTTATGTTCGAGTCGCATCCACTGATGAACGGAGCGGACTTGACCATGGCCCACCAGTCTCCCTACCCCTCTGCCCACCAATTTCCTATCAACGCACAACCCACCGGATACCCATCACAACACAATTTCCAAGACAGAGACGACATAATGAGACGACCGAGCTACGGTGGGCTTCCTTACCCCAGCCAACAGATAGAGCGCCCAGTTGCCAGTCCTCGGCTGCAACCGAGACAGCAGACTCAAACACAGACGCCAATGCCAACAGAAACGGAAGAAGATCCACAAACAAAACCCCGTGTAAGGAGGCTGGCTCGTATGAGGAATCGTGATGATGAAGACGACGCCCCTAAGCCCAACCAGTCGCCCTCAAGCTCGTCTGTAGAGGACGAGCCAGCCACGCTCATTTTCAAACCCAGCTGCCCTGACCAAGAACGATGGCTCTTTCAAAGACGTGCTGAGCTGGAGGATCAAAAGGGAAGTGGCATCTGGGCAACGATCACAGCCGAATACAACCGGAAGTACAATGCGACTTCTGATATCCCGCGTCTGCAGATGGTTTGCAGCAGAGGAAGGGCTCCGTACCTCGCATGGCACCCGACAGATGTGAGTTATCAGGACCTCTATGATTCCTGCAAACACTTTCTAATCTAGAACAGGACGACAAGCTTCGACGAGCCATCCTCTTTGACGAACAGCAGCAGATGCAGAGGGTTTTCGCCAAGTTCAAGGAACTCGGTGGCGGCGCATACGCCCACTGGGGCCGTAACGATCTCGAGCTTCGCATGGTGGAACTAGGCTGGGCGGACGTCCACGTTGAACCCTCGCCGTTAGACTCCAGCGTCAGCGTCCGGCGCCGCAGGAAGCTCAACCGCCGCCAGTCTACGGCCCAAGATGCACAGTCTAGGTTGAACATGACCGAAGAGGACCAGGCGCAAGTGATGGAAGAGATCGTCGCACACAGGGGCATCAAGCCTGAGGATGAGGATGCTGAGGTGACCCTCCACGAGATGCAGAGAATGCGTCTCCAGCACCCCAAAAACGCCCGTGTGACGAAGCAAGAGACACAGGAGAGCCTCATCGCAAGCGGTGGACGTGTGGCAAAGATCGCAAAGTCTTCAGCGGCAAAGGCCAAAAGCAGGAGTCGCGTGCAGAGATCAAAAGCTGCATAAATATGCCCACGACAACATCTACACAACCATTCAACACCCAACACTTGCTGGCCATGTTTTCATTCTACTTCTCAGCCACCTGTCATTGGTTTTGGAGTTCAATGCTTTTCTCGGAACCAAAGCTGTCGGAACGAACGGATAGATTGTCGAAATGTTTTTTTTTTCTCCGTAAAGATAGAGATACCATCACTCAATTTTTTCTTGTTGGGGTACACGGTATACCCGGTTGGAATAGCGGCAAGGGATGGGTCGGTTGAATTTTAGTTGGACATGCATATCATCATTTTACACATCTTATGCTTCTTGTACATACTTTTATTCCCAAGATTTTGGACGCATGCATCACCACACGATCAATACCACGGTCTACTGGACCACCTGAACTCTGTACCTCTCGATGGACCCCTTTTCTATGTGATATCATCGTGGTGGACTCTTGTCCTGCCTATTTCGTCATCCTGCCTATTGATAAACACACAGAAAACAACAATACGTCGGCTAGGGTAAGTCTCGCAGGGATACCAAGGAGAGGGGAACAGACTCGTCAAAACTAGGCACGGCAGGCAGAGCAGGCAGGAGAGCAGGCAGAGATCCCAGGTTTTCGGGACCAAGGCGACATTACCCCTCGAATGATCAAACCATCATCGCAGTCGCCGACAACACGAGAATGTCACAGTGACAGCGGCTACGTACGCATCGAGAGTCTCGAGATCTCATGACCAGGGGGGATGGGATGCCGTCAAACAAAGGCAAGCTCGTCCGTTGTCGACGTCAAGTCGTAGGACATGTGCTACGCCGTTGCTGCCTTTGGGCCATTCACCTTCAATTTCCCACGCCCAACAGTAACCTCGTCCACCACCAACATGCTGTAGTCTGGTGAGGTAGTGGTGGTGCTTCCCCATGCTCCCTCCTACGCCTCTTCAACGGGCGCCCCGTCTGTGCCCCCCGATGCCGAGGACCCAACGACCAGGAAAGCAGAGAAAGCCTGCGGCTGTGGCTTTTCCAACCACCCACACACCTTTTCTCCTCCCCCTCCTCTTCTTCCTCCAGGCTCCTCCTCCTCACAAAATTTGTGATGAACCCAACCCCCGACCGACGGATGGATACACTCACCACCTCATACGACATCCACAGCCAGACCGTGTCCGCGGCCCTTCTGGCCCGGATGCGACAGTGCTGGTATTCCGCAGGGTAGCCCCCCTTCTAGGGAAGGGGGTCCCCTCCCCCCCAGCCAGCGATCGAGGTTTTTTTATTCATCCTTTCGAATTAAGTAGCGGCGTCGCCCATCTGCTAGTGTAGTATAGTCCATGCCTGCTCCAATGGCATTGCTGCCCTGCGGCTGGCCCGCCGGCAGCAGCAGCCCCGTTTACATGAACAGTGGGTTTCTTGGGGGCAGGAAGAGCGCGCGCGGACCGGGTGGCCGTGGGCAGGGTACAAGGCCCTTTCGGCTCGGGTCATGGGAAGGGAAGGAGGCAGGAGGGGGGAGGCAGGAGGAGGGAAGAACAAAGAGCGAGCGAGTGGGCTCTCTCTGGAGCCTCTGGAGGAGGCATTCCGCATCCATTATCACGATGGAGCCTGGAGAGAGCAAAATAGACGAGCAATTGAGCAGCAGTCAAGGTTGTGAAGTAAGGCAACAGGGGGTGGGATAGGGATACATACGTACTGCGTACAAAGACAGCAGATACAGACACACAGGGTCACATCTGTAGCGGCGACAAACGGCGACGAAGTTGAACCTGACAGGGCCAGACAGGGCAAGGCAAGAGACCAGCAAGGGGCTACTCGCACGGGGCAAGATGGACGACGAAAGGACCGCGCATGAACAGGGAGCGGCGCGCACCAGCCTAGCACGCCTAGCACACGCCAAGCTAAGGTAGCCAGACAAGGTGAGGGGACCCTGGAACGGTGCTGGTCACCGGCCGACCTGTGCCTTTTGACGCTGTGTGTGTGTGGTTTTTTTTCTCCCCGGGGCGTCCCCGTGTTGCCCGTGTCCGCCAACCCCTGACGATACCCTCGATACCCTGGAAGAAACTGAACGGTGTCAGTGGAGAAGGAAAAGGCAGACAACGGTGGGTACTCCAGCCGACGGCCCCACTGAGCGGCTTCCGCGCACTGTGATTATCCCGCCAAGACGACTTCTCGGCTTCCCGGGGGTTGCCTCGCTCACGTGAAGTGGGAAGCCTGTGAGGAATACCGGGGCTTGATTGACGAGATAGCCTGGATAGCATGCTGTCAACAAGATGAGATGAAGAGATATGGAGGGACGGGAAGGATCCCGTATCTTACACAAACTGGCTTGTCAAACATGATCCCATGTACCTCGCGAGCTTGGTGACGATGCCGCTGAAGACTTATCACTGTCAGTCAGTTTTCGAATATGCATACGTCCCGTACCGGCTGGACAAGCAACGGCAAGGCAGGTAGCGAGTATTCGTATCAAATAGTAGCGTCAGAGGCGCGGTGATGATGGCAGCGACGAGCTTCCGCTGAAGACATAACTCGAGACAGAGGGAGTGTATGTGCGTGGCATACACACACACACAAACACACACACACACACAAATGGTATGGGGTTTGCCCGTACTCCAGGTTCGTGGGTGCTTCCTTCGGCCGGTATCATCGTCCTTCCTCCGGACCAGATATCGGGCGGTTCAGTCTCCAGTCTTTGCTCCCCTTCCCATCCGTTCTCGTCGAATCAAAACCTGTTGCGCGCCAAGGTACGCATTATCTCACAATTTCAATCGCATTTACGTCCCATCCCATGGCCTCATCTGATGGTGCGAGAGGGTCCAGAAGGGTCAAGACGGCCGGAGAGGGTCGGCTCCCTGATCCTGACGAGGTGATGCCGGGGCAAGAGAGAGTGGCGGCCGGATCGGAGAGAAACTCCTCTTTTCCCCCCTCCTGTGCCTCCCTCAGGCCTTGACCGGTCGTGATGGGGGACGTATTTCCTGGCCTGTGATTGACTCTCGTCTTCCCAGGTTCCGGGAAAGGACCTCAGTGTGAAGCCAAACGACCAGGGGCCCTGAACAGGTGACGGAGTGATGAACACCCCTGTTTGCAAATCAAACCTTCGGAGGCTCGGTGTGAATCGCGGGCACTGGTACGTGCGCATTCCCGACGACCCCTCAAGAGAGGCCCCGGCAAACCTGGTTGAAGGCGGGTGAGGAATGGTTGTTCCGCACTGTCCCCTGTTTGCGCCAGTTGTGGAGTCATACGCTTTTCTTGCTCCAGTCTGCTCTCTTCTGCAGAGACACTTCATCAACTGTCCCAGGAACTCGGTAAATTGCTGTGGGCAAAATCAAATAGCAATGCCTGATTTTGTCCACTTCTACGACCCTGAACCTGGGTCAGTCCTCTCGGGGTTGAGGGGAGCCGCTGCTGCCTCCTTCCCATGTCCATTGACGGGTCCGTACGGGTGCAAAACGGCAACGCGAAATGCTCCCCTGTTGATTTGCTGCTTCGTTCCTGTGCTTGAGATTCTTGTCTTTCTCGGGTGGTCTCCGCCGTTTCTTGCTTCTCAGATTTTCCTTGACGAAACTGTTGCCGAGAGATTCACCTAGGGAGACGAGATGGGGAACGACTGATTCCCCGCTTATTTGGCCATGGGGTAGCCGATGGGCGTTGATCAATTGGGGAGCCATTGGGCTGAGCTGCCATCCGCGAAGCGATGTAGCCCTCTGTTGCAACTTGCCGTGCCTAGACCGGCAAACCTTGTCTGGTGCACACGTCAACATCGTCTGGCTCATTTGCTTTTCTGCCGATCTTTCTGCTTCTTTGTTTGTCCCGTCACGCAATATGCTCTTGTCCTGTCCAAACAAGGCATTGACTTCCAGATTGCTGCCCACAACTGGACAAAATGGTCGTCCGGGTTCATGTTGGTGTATTTGAAATCTCTAGCGCCAGGGTTGCTCGTTTGTGTGAATTCGATTGGTCCTGCGCCGCTCTGAACCGCCCTTCAACTTCCAACAGTCCAACAGCAAGACTCGCGAAGCGCGAAGCGCGTCTGCCAGCGTGAAAGAAAATCATGCCATCATGCATGGGGCCCGGAGCAAGCTGCCAGATCATCCCTAGACTAGCGAAGAACGGGCGAAGAAGTGGCCGGGAATTCTCATTTGCAGCGGCTAAGCCACGACTGAGGCGGTTTCCAGCCAATTGCAAAGCATACCAGTCTGTCGGGACACTCTCTTGTCGAATCAAAGCCGCAGAATGGAACCGCCTGCCGGGTTGAACCTTTCCCTTGCATTGGGCTTGCAGAATCCCATACAGGAGCCAGTCGAATCGACTCGAACGGTCGTAACAGGGAAGTCGTCCTTCCCCTCTCTGCTTTTCCACCAGTTGGCGTCTTCTGCTCACAGTTCACTGGTGGAGTGGCCTACGCACTGCGGGCAGAAAGCTCTGCTTGCTGAAGTCTGCAGGCCCTCCGTTTGATTATTGCTCTCTTGCAGCCTTCGATCCAGAGTATCGGGACTAAAGTCGGTGAAGGTACGTAGTTTACGTACTGCTGTTTACAGCAAGGCGTCCACGTCGCTGCTGCTCTCCTGCCTGATTTGAGCATCCGAAACGCACCGGAATTAACTGGTAACTGGCTTGCCTTCCTGCGCCTGGTATAGTACCCAGGGTCCAAGGCATTGCGCCCGTTTTGCGATTTTGACCTGCGGTAAAACGGCCGGCGTATGGACTCCTTCGAATATGTCCATTCACTCTAACCTGTTGGGCCTGGGACTATCATTGAGTCGAGATTGATGGCATTCGAAGAGCATACAAGCAGTATACCAAAAATAAAGCCTTGAGATGTCAAGCTGAGCTTCTCTCCGTCCTAGCTCAAGGCAAACATGCAGCAGCATGTCCTCGATGCTCCGGACTCGGGATGGCAGTGCGGACCCTGGACTGCGGGCGTTGTAGTAAAGTGATGACGGTCGTTGCCAAGAGCCTTGTGCGGCGAGTTCGGTGCGTGGGTGGCTTCGTTTGATGGCGTACCAAGTACATCAAATCCTTGTTACCGGCAACCGTCAGGTAAGAGACGTGATTTGTCGCGTAAGCGAAAGGTCCACTGGCAGTATCCATCCAGGCTGAAGACCTGGCTCCCTGATCCCCAGGCCTTGGACCGAAATGGTAATTCGTCAATAGCGGTTCATTACTGGCTTGACGTCGTACTGTGAACCAATGACCAGTTTTCCAGGCTGGAACCCATGATTTGCATGCCCAAAGTTGATGTCCATGGTCTCGAAGATGGCCTGGCAGTGTGCGTAGGCAGTGCGCGGCCCGTTCTGGCGGCCGCCTCTAGTCTGATCACACCCCCCTCCCCCCCTGGTGTTTCCTTGCCGTGACTCAAACGAACTAGGTAGACGTCACGGCCAGACAGCAGAGTTGCCCTGAAGCGGCGGTTGCCGAGAAGAAGTTGACGTTGACATTCGTTTCTTCGGGTATGATTCGGACTCGCCTGAGGCAGAATGGAAAACGACCCTCATGGAGCCTGGAGGTAGCCTGGGGTTCGTGGAGATGCGAAATGCTGCAGTACGACCTGGAGGACATTGTATGTCCAGTGGGGTGAAGTCAATGTACTTGTAGGGCCTGTTCTTTGGAGGCCTGCTCAGTACACGACAGAACAAAGTCCGATGTTCCTCGATCCTGGATTGCGTGGATGCTGCCTGCGCTTATGCGGCGCGTCTATCTCCATCAGCGTAAGCGCTCTCAAACTTTGTGTCGGACCTGTGAAGTTGAAGTTGAAGGATTTGGCGCCGTGGAGTTGGCAGGAAAGCTTCTCTTAGCGTCCGAACGCACTGGCCGCACCTTGTTCTCCCTTCTCGATAAGATTATCAGCTCAGGCAGTAAGCCACATACACAGTGTATGTACGTAAGCAAGGGAAAGCCTCCACCTTCTGCGATGGGTGATGAAAAAGGGAAAACTTCGATTGCCCCTCCTCGTAACGTTTGTTGATGGCTAAACCAGCGAAGGTTTTGGTCGTTGTAGATGACGTGGATGTCCCACGGAACTGCAATTCAGACGAAGCTGGACAGAAAAAGCCGTATTGTCGTATCGACTAGTACGGTACCTTATCATGCCAAAGTAGTAAGTGCCCGAGAAGAATAACCGCTCAATGCTGCAGAAACTCTAAAGAGTAAAGAGAAAGCGGCTCCTCAGCCTGTGCCGGCAATGCTGCGACTTTGCACTCTCCTCAGCGGAAAGCTCGCCGGCGCCTGTTCTCACGTCAGCAGACTTAGCAGAGAATTCCTGACCATTCCTGCACAAGTTCAAGTGAAGGAAGCGCGGGATGCGTTGTCATTTCCTGGCCAGTCAGGTCTCTTTCTCTTGTGCCGTCGTCTACGCAGTGGACCACGCCTCTTTGACCTGCGATCCAACATTGGCCTGAGCTGAAATTCCTGCAGATAAGAACAAGGCGAGTCAGGGCACTGGAGGCAGAATTTTGCATTTCGAATGCTGTTCTAGAAAACAGCATCCTCAGACTTGCTCTGACTCGGGCACGTTCATCCGATCTTGGAAGACTCAGGTTGTCGCAAGATGCCAGCAGATCGTGCTGAGTCGGTTTTTTGGTGGTTGGGAGACTTTCCACTAGCCACTTCACTAGCCACGCTGATGTCAAGGCTCCACCAATCGGAGACGCAGAAGATGTCTGTCTGTCCGTCTGATTGTGGCTGCCAAAGGACAGACAGACGCATCCGTTCCATCTCCGTCTCCTTCCATCCCGCTTCGAAATTCAAGGAGGCACGAGACCTGCCTAGGGACGCCATTCTCTCAATTCAACGTCCATTTTCTCTTCGTCGCACATCTTATTATTCAGTGATACCCGATGCTTTGTTTTTGATTATCACGTCAATTGCATCATTTCAATGATTCCATGAAGAATCACGTCACGATCCGCGCATAAATCGAGGCATCTGCCGCTGGCAGCCCCCTGGTTGATGGGAAACCTGTCTGGCCCTTAGCTGTGGAGAGATAGCATCATCATGCTATCGCGAATTCTTGTTCTGCTGTATCTGTGTCTATCATGGCCTGCAGCTGTGTCTGCAATCAGCACCGCCAAGCTTGCCGAACTGCGAAATGCTACTACTGACGTCTTTCATCATGGCTGGAACAACTACATGGGCATCGCTTTTCCCGAGGACGAGGTTAGTACATCCCTAGTGTTAGCAAGGAGATCCAGACAGTGCTGACCAGAAGTTCTAGCTGCGCCCGGTTTCCTGCACCCCGTTGACGCGCGATCCCGCGAACCCCGCCAACTACGACCTGAACGACGTCCTCGGAAACTACTCCCTTACCCTGATCGACAGTCTTTCGACCCTGGCAATCCTTGCAGGAACTCCTTCCGATCAAAATACTGCCCTATGGGCTTTGCAAGAATTTCAGCAGAGCGTCACGACGTTCGTAGAATACTACGGAGATGGTAGGCCGGGACCGTCCGGGCAAGGACTCAGAGCTCGGGGCTTCGATCTCGACAGCAAGGTCCAGGTCTTTGAGACAGTCATTCGCGGAGTGGGTGGATTGCTGAGTGCACATTTGTTCGCTGTCGGGGAGCTACCTATTCCAGGGTACGAACCGGGGCACAACCACCAGGAAGACGAAGATTCGGACCCGCTAGAGCTGCCGCCGATATCATGGCCAAATGGCTTCAAGTATGATGGTCAACTCCTCCGGCTGGCACTAGATCTTGCGGAACGACTTTTACCTGCCTTCTACACCAAGACTGGGCTGCCGTACCCACGAGTCAATCTACGGCATGGTATCCCGTTTTACGTCAACTCCCCGTTACACAAGGTCTCGCGCGACGACCCAGACTCCCCTCGAGCCACCAACGAGAAGACAGACACATGCAGTGCTGGTGCAGGAAGTCTGGTCCTCGAGTTCACTGTCCTTAGCCGGCTGGCGGACGACCCGAGGTTCGAGCAACTGGCCAAGAGGGCTTTCTGGGCAGTGTGGAAAGGCAAGAGCGAAATTGGTCTTGTTGGGAATGCGATCGATCCTGAGAAGGGTGAATGGGTCAGCTTTGACTCGGGCATCGGCGCTGGTGTCGACAGCTTCTTTGAATATGCTCTCAAAAGCCATATTCTGCTGTCTGGCCATGAGCTACCCAACACCACGACACGGAAGCCGCCTACTGACCGACTATGGCTCGATCCTAATGACCTTCACGATACGCCGCTGACACCTGAAGAAAATTCTTCTGGGGCCTTTTTGGAGGCTTGGCACCACGCCCACGCAGCTATCAAGCGGCACTTGTACAATGATGCTCACCACCCATACTACATGACCGGTCATCGAACCCGCGGGTACGCATTTACGAGTTGGATTGACAGCCTCGCCGCATTTTATCCAGGTCTCCTCGCCATGGCAGGTGAAGTGGAGGAGGCCGAGGAGGCAAATCTATTATACACAGCGTTGTGGACGCGTTACGGTGCTCTTCCAGAGCGATGGTCGGTTCGTGAAAGACAAGTTGATTCGGGAATCGGATGGTGGCCCGGCCGGCCCGAATTCATCGAGTCAAATTACTACCTCTACCGTGCGACCAACGACCCCTGGTATATTCACGTTGGAGAGATGGTACTCAACGATATCAAGAGACTGTGCTACACTAGATGTGGCTGGTCTGGCTTGCAAAATGTTGACACTGGGGAGAAGGCCGACCGCATGCAGAGCTTCTTCCTTGGCGAGACCACCAAGTATCTCTACCTCCTGTTTGACCCAGATCATCCCCTGAACAAGCTCGACGCAGCGTACGTCTTCACAACCGAAGCGCACCCGCTCATCATTCCTCGACGAAGGACGAAACCAAAGAAGAAGAAAGAACATCGCCAACAGCCCAAGAATATCAATGTCTATTATGACGAGAACTTCACCAACACCTGTCCGGCTCCAAAACAAGTCCCGCTGACTGGCTCGGTTCTTGCCGCTCGACCGGACGTGTTTCACGCTGCAAGCTTCGTCAACCTGCACACCATCTCGAACCCACACAGTGGGGTTGAGACCGTTCCTGCGGGCAAGGGAAGCAACGGCTCTATTTCTCGGTACAAGGCGAACCACGCATTCTTCCCTTGGACACTGCCGAGGTCTTTGATTCCTGATAATGGTACTTGCGCTGCGTTGCCCTTTAAGCCAACTTTGATCATCGAGTTCCCGTCCAGCATCCAGCAGAGCGGCGTTGGTAGCGCTTTCAACAACCTCTTTGCGAACACAGCTGCCTTCAAGACACCGGTGGGCGTCAGAATAGCCGCCCTAAATGGATTGAAGATCCACTTTGTGCGGGAGGATTCATACGACGCTGCTTACGACCATACATGGCGCGTCACGCAGGTCAATCACATGCCGCTCGGTCGCGATGAGCCAGTCCACATCGACGCGGATCTGTTGAATGGCATCTCCGACCCTCTATTCAACCGGGTGCGTTATAACGGTTTCGTGGAGCTGATTATGGCCCACGGTCAACCCAAAGTCCACAATGCTAGCGAGCCAGTACCTGCTGAAGGATTGGAGATTAACATCAATGATCTGGAAGATCAGGTACAGTTGGCGGAGGAGCCTGGGTCTGACATGCAGGAGGACCAAGCTTCTTCCAAGAGCATGAACACGGCGTACAGGTCGATGCTCAAGTCCATGATTCGTGCCGTGACATCAGTCTTTGATCCTACCAATACCCCTGCTCCGCGCCCTGCAGGAAGTCAAGAAAAGTTCTTCATTGAGAGCTTTATGGGATCAATATCGGTGGGGAAAGGCGCAGTGCCTCTTCCCGACACTCCTGATGCGTCGATTCCCACCGACGACGAGCCACCGAATCTCCCATGGCAAACTGTGTACCTGGCAGGGTATGCTTGCGACGGGCGGCTTCCTGATGAAGCACCTCGTCAGCATCAAGTCATCGTGATGCGACGTGGGGGCTGCTCTTTTAGTGAGAAGCTTGCCAACATTCCTTCCTACACGCCTTCGTTACGTGCCTTACAGCTTGTCATCATTGTCGACGAAGAAGAGCTTGACAATAATTATGTCTACAGTGCCCCCGACTTGTGGGAGTATGAACTTATCAAACCTCACTTGGATGTTGAGCAGACAACACCGGCAGGGATGCGAAGGCCGCATCCCATTGCTTTGGTGATGATCCGTGGAGGTGGCCCAGAGGCATATAAGAAGTTTGGAAACGCTCTCGGTGTAGGAGTGCGGAGGAAGTACTTCATCGAGACGCAGGGGCGGAGAGTCGACAACATCATCGTCCTATAGGAAAGGCAAAAGCGGAAAGTCACGGAGGTGTCTGCTTTCAAGCGGTGGTTTTCGATGTTATTTTGAGAGCATAGCGTGAGGGTTGTACTGGTTGTACATACGGGTCTGGAACCAGCTGCATGATAGATACCACTTGGGGAGTTTGCGAGGCCTGCAGGCCGTATAGACATTGAGCGTTCATCTACCAAGCATTGTTTCTCGATGTGAGTCTCCGAGCCACTTGTGCCATTCCCTTTGAGATCGAAGGACCATGAAAAGTTGCCTGCCAATGCCTGCCTGACAAGCTTCGTGTTGATGCAACTTCGAGTAAGGTAGGTAAGTTTGGCACATTATGTGGGTCTTTCCCAGAGTCCTTGCCAGGGGTTGGACGTCCCTGTGGCGACTCGCTTGGAACAGTGGCGCGAGCTAAGGTAGGTACGGAGTAGTTGATTGGCAGACTACTGACTTGAACTCAGCTTCCATCTCATCTCATCAATTGCTTCATCATTACCATCAGTCATTTTGACTTCGACGACATTCGACTCTACTTCGAAGGACCGCTCTGCCTGTAGCAACGGACGAGAGTACCTGTCATTACATCTAGACATCACCACACAACCCCGATTTCTGTGCCTAGGCAAGAGACATACAATCAGGGGGTTCATTTCACCAGATATCGGTCACTAGATAGTTGCACTTTCTTTCTCGTCCGTCGTTATAATAAGCTTCAAACCCAAACATAGGCCATGGAATCCCCGTTCTTCGACGGCGCAGAGCCGCAGCCGAAACCCGCAAGCTTCCAGGGCCGCCTGCAGCTTCAAGATTTCATGTTCAAGCACGAATCCCCGTCCCCAGCAGCATCGCCGTCGCCGGCCCCGTCACCACTCCGGCGTAGCCCCCGGAAGCAGCCCCCACACGGCGGCCCCGTCGTCCGCTCGCCAGCCCGGGTCACCAAACCCACCAGCACCACACCGCGGAAGGTGAAGGCGGAACCTCCCTCGACCGCCGGCAACGAGGAGGACACATCACTACACCGCATCCCACCGCGCAACACAGCAACAAAAGCGAAGCGCAAACGCCAGGCAACCGGCTACGCCCCGCCGTCAACCTACGCGCACCTCTCCCCGCTGGTCGACATCCTCGCGCCCGACCTGCTCATCCTCTTCGTCGGCCTCAACCCGGGCCTGCAGACGGCGCGCTCCGGCCACGTGTACGCGCACCCGTCCAACCTCTTCTGGAAGCTCCTGCACTCCTCGGGCATCACGCCGCGGCTATGCGCGCCGCAGGAGGACCGCGAGCTGCCCGCGCTCTACGGCCTGGGCAACACCAACATCGTCGCCCGGCCGAGCCGCAACGGTGCGGAGCTCAGCAAGGCGGAGATGGACGAGGGCGTCGGCGTGCTGGAGGAGAAGGTGCGGGGGTGCAGGCCCGAGACGGTGTGCATCGTGGGGAAGAGCATCTGGGAGAGTATCTGGCGGGTGCGGCACGGCAGGGGGATCAGGAAGGAGGAGTTTCGGTATGGGTGGCAGGATGAGAGCGAGAATATGGGCGTTGTGAGGGAGGGTGGTGGTGATGGTGATGAGAAGGGGGAACCTTGGGCTGGTGCGAGGGTGTTTGTTGCGACGAGCACGAGCGGACTTGCTGCGACCCTTCGGCCGGCGGAGAAGGAGAGGATCTGGCGGGAGCTGGGAGAGTGGTGCGAGACCCGGAGGGCCGAAAGAGATGCGGCTTGATGGCGCTCTTGACGTATTATTCATCACATAGCATTGGTTACCGGTACTAGTAGCGTCGATTACTATTGGTAATAGACTATCTCGTAATATCCACCTTCAAACTCAGTGTTTCTGTTGCCAGGTCCAGGTCTAATTGCCCGGTCCAAGAAGCCTCCGTGGTGGGTATCGAGCGCCCAAAACTCCTTTCGAAAAAAAATCCTACAGCCGGCCCGATTCATGCAGACGTTTTCCATTATGTACAGTTTGGTCATATTCGATTGCTTATGCGGCGAAGACCGTGGCCAGGACCACAGCCAACATGGGCCAGAAGCCGAGGGCCTCAGAAACGGCCCGGAAAGCGGCAGAAGTGGTACCGACGTCGTCAGAACCGCCCGAGGCGGTCGTGCCATTGGGGAGGGTGCCGTTGATGAGGATGGTATCGGTATTATTGTAGATACCCTTGGTGACGACAGACTGGTTCAGGCCTTGGTAGCTGCCGTTGCCGAGGAGGGCACTCATGTACTCGGTGCTATTGTTCTCGTCGCATGCGCAGGGCTGATGGTCAGCGCAACCACAGATAACCGGCTTCGTCTGGTTCTCGCGCGCCGACTGGTTGTAGAAGCGATAAGGGTGCGAGTAAGGGTACATGTGGGCGCCCGCGAGCCAAAGTCCGGGCCAGAAGGCGAGACCACCGCCGATAAGCAGGAATGGGGCGATGGAACCGGGACCTCTTGATGCGCCGGCTGCGTAAGGAACCTTGGCACCGCCGCCGTATGATCCGCCGTAGGCCGGCGCGGGGCCGCTGCCCGTCTTCGTTGATCCGCCGGAGCTGTCGCGGCTACCGCCTCTCGCGGAGCCTCCGGTACCACTGGCACCGCTGCTGCCGCCGCTTCTGCCTCCGCTACTAGAGCCACCTGTACGAGAACTTGATGAGCCACCAGAACTTGAACCGCTAGAGCCAGAAGAGCCAGAGCCAGAGCCGGAACGGCTGCCGCCGGAGCGACTGCCGCCAGAACTACTGCCTCCAGATCGACTCCCGCCGCCGCTGCTGCTACTACCTCCTGATCTTGACCCACCTGAAGAGGAGCCTCCTCCTCTGCCGCCGCCGCCGCCTCCGCCGCCCTTGCGCTTCCACAGCTTCTCGTCTTCATTCGCGTTGCTGTCGCGCTCTTCTACTGGTGCGAGGAACGAAACGTCTGAGGCGTGGAGGCCGGGCTCAAGGGCTGCGGCCCACACGGGCGCGAGCAGCGTCAGCGCGACGACTGTGAGATCTACTCTCATTTTCGGTTGCTACGGTGCGTTTGCGCCGATCGTCAAGATGCGATGTTGGAGCAAAAGTAGTCTTTTCGATGGGTGTGCCGTTCTAGCCGCACGCGACTTGATTCAGAATGGCAGACGGATGGCTGGGGGAGGGATTGTCGTAAGATGTGGTAAGAAAGTGTAAAAAGTAGGCTTCGGAGGAACAGCAGGTGGGAGCGGGTACAATTTTGTCTCTTTCCGTTTCAAGTCGTCTCAGAGTGCCAAGAGCTGCGCTGTGCCCGCCCAAACAGGGATGTGTCGGAGTCACTCAATTCCCGTCAGACTGATGTGTAATTGCCTAAGTGGTTGTTGCCACCAGCCTATGATGACATGCGACTCGGAGACTTCGGTCCAAAGGGGTGTGTTCCCTTCCGTCACCGTATTTACCCCAAAGTCTGGGTAAGTGGCCTTTGTGGCGCGTTTGGGGTTCTCTTTGATGATCGACGGCCCGGGCGATTTAAGCGTCACCTCTGGAAAGGTGAATGCGCGATGAAGTCAAAGAAGGATTCGGTGTGGTACAAGCGTCTTGGTAAGAAGCGAATGTGCGAATAGGCAAGTTTCTCTGAGGTGTGGAGTCTTGGTAGGTGTGGTAGGTGAATCGTTTTGTTGATGAGATGACTTTCCGAAAAGAAAAAGACATGCCCAGAGCAAGGGACGACATGTTTTAATACCATTCAGGTCATTCAGGTCCCCGTCAACGAGGACCCTGATACATCGTCAGTCAGCCCTGGCGTCAGGGTACTTGCGGCGCCGCCGTGGGCAATCCTTCGCGTTTGGCTATGTTCATCCTGATCCACAAAGCTTCGATCCCGGAGATGTTTGTTCCTGCGTCCATGTATCCATAACGCGCGACTGCACTGCCCGCAGGCGACAGAGGTGGTTTTCAGATTGGTTGAAAAACGACTTCTTCTCGCTCCCTCCGTTTGCATAACTCGTAGGAGCATTACCACAAGGGTAAGAGCCAAGGCCCGCCACTGACATGTCTTTGCCCGCGCCGTTAAGGATATTCACCGCTAAGACATATGATGATTTTCGTTTACCCACTCGGGAAAATAACATCGGTCAGCCAGGTGGCTAGTGACCGCTACTACCTTAGCACCATGGGTCAAGTGGAAAAGCTCAGCCTCCGTCAGGAGGACATGATAGCTTCGTCTTTATGTATATCATTGCCTTCGCCGTATCACTCGTCCTCGACCTAGTTGTATTCTCTTTGGTCTCTTGCTCTTCAGAGTCCCGGGACAATGGAATGATGCCGGGCAGTTCCCTGGCTCACTGCTGCAAGTTCATGCATGGGTACTTTGGCCCCAGAGGTTTCTGCCTAGTGCGCCTGGGCCCCCCAGGGTATCTCGCCTATTGTAAGCTTAATTGGTGGCTGGCGTACTTAGTAAGTACAGTGGCTGTCGCTGTGGTAGCGGAGGCTGTGCAAATGCATCATACGCCCGACACTGCTGAAGAACTTGAGGACTTCTGTCATTTCATCACTCCACCATCCCGGAGAAGTAGTTAAGCTAAATAGCTTCAGTCTGCGAGATCAAAACGATATGATCACGAGGTAGATCTGGTTGCCTTACGAACTGCTACGAGGTACCCAGATCGGACTTTCCCCGCCTGTCTCATCCTTCTGCAGCCAAATCTCATGCAAGTTTAGCAAGTCCCTGGATGCCTTGCGGTTTGCCTCGCTTGGTGCTCCACACTTAGCATTCAACAACCTCACTGCAGTCGGGCGGCGAGTATTGGCCCCCTCGCATAATCATCACACCACAGACCACGCCTTCTTTTGACAAGGACCCATCTCACCAAATTCTGCTGTCGCATTACATTGCTTTCCATCTCTGGTATCGAGAGAGAACCGCCATCCTGCAACATGAGCGGTTCTGACAAGAGCCTGCTGGATCGCCTGAGTGCGCTGAAGGGCGGCAGTCCTGGCGTCTCATTAGACCGTTCATCAAAGTAATCAAAACCAAACCCACCAATAGACCTCATCTGGTTCATAGCAGTGCTAAAAAGTGTTCAAAGTGCCCTAAACGTCTCTCTTACGGGCGTCGAGCCCGCCAAGCCCCCCTCACGAGAGGACGCATTGTCCGCCCGGCTTCGCTCTCTCAGAAACACTCCCGAGCGCGAGGTGCCACCACCACCGCAGCAGCAGTCACACACCTCAAAGGCCGTCAGTCACGAGACCGCAACCCGCGGAGAAGCCGCAAGCTTATCGCCGGCGGGGCCCCGTGGGTCCCACCCGGCGGCGGCACCGCCTCAGTCCCAGGCTCCGACGGATGATGTCGATCCATTTCTCGAGACGGATGACCAGACCCTTGAAGACCTGCTCAGCGACGAAGACCTCGGCTCGCAGGAGCAGTGGAACTTCGACCCGAAGGATGAGTCGGCCAAGGTGAACGCCCTTCTAGAAGAACTCTCGAAGGCTTCGCCCGCCCAGCAGGCCCCGGACAGTACCGACGATGGCAACGTCGGCGGGAAGGCCAGGGACGCCGATGATTCGGACGGCGAGGAGATGACCAAGGAGGTGGAAACGTTGCTCTCCCAGGCTCTCGACGATGCGCGGCTCAATACGCAGCCCGACGATGTGCCTGACCCACCAAGCAAGCACCAGGGTGCTGCCGATGAGGCCGGAGAGGACCAGCAAGGTGACGGAGACCCGGGCTTCTCCCTCCCGTCCGTGCCCTCAACCATTGCAGCCCCAAAGTCCGACAAGGTTGATGATGACGGTAGTCTGCCCGGCCTGTCTCTGCCGTCGGTCCCATCGGGCCAGCCGAATCACGAGGACCTTGACGACGACCTCGCGGCGCGGATGGCTGCCCTAGGCGGTCTCGGTGCTCCGTCCGAGGGAGGTATGGGCCTGCCTTCGGTACCTACGTTCCAGCCCGCCGATCGGGCGGTCAAGAGGTTGACGTCGAAGGCGGGCTACACGGACGAGGACGCCGACACGTGGTGTACTGTCTGCCTGGAGGACGCAACGCTGCAGTGCCTCGGCTGTGAAGACGTTTACTGTGCCCGTTGCTGGCACGAGATGCACATTGGACCGGCTGCCGCGTTTGACGACCGCACCCATAAGGCAGTCCGATTCGTCAAGCCGAAGAAGGGCCAGCAGAGGAGAGTAGCATTGGGAGCATCATGAAGTTATGACAAGAAAGTTTTGAGCATTCTGTGAGAAGATACCAAATTCCGTTTTCCCCCGTCGCCGTGTGCCATGCCGTACCTATTTGAAAAACAAATTTCCACACTCCTTGCTAGTAACCCGAGTCTTCCATGCGATGTGCTTATGTTACAATCCTAGCATGTGCTTAGCAACCTAATGTTTCGTGCCTATAACCTAAGTCTCCGTAGAGCGGCCGCCGTTGTTATTCTCTGAGGTGCCGTAAGTGTTCTTAGACTTCGACCGCCCCGTAATATCCTGCCACGTAGCACCGAATCGGCGGCCAGTGCTAGCCAGCAAACCCTCCTCCTCGTCTGCCTCAGCATCCTCGTCGATCTCAGACATGTTGAGCTTGGGCGTCCTGAAAAGACCTGTCACGAAGACGAGGAGGAAGACGCCAAGGAAGACGAACTGCGCCCAGAAGTCGAGAGCGCCAAAGAAGGGCCAGGTGATGGTGATGCGATTCAAGAACTCCGCCATGATAGACGGAGTGCACACTTTCAGGGCGTCCTTCTCCAAGCCTTCAGAGCATTGGACGAGGTAGTCGGGCCTGTCTCCGCAGTTGGAACCGTGAGGGGCAGTGCAGAAAGTTTGTGTGCCATAGATTGAATATTGTGGTGCCACCATGTTAGCGATGGCATAGTTGATGGCCAGAATGATGAGAGCCAACATGACTGTGGCGATCAATAGAGCTTGAGGGGCAGTCCTGCCCTTCCGTATCTGGAAGATGCGGATCCAGAGGAAGCGAATCCCAACAGTTGCAATGCCCGTGATCGAGCTGCTGAAGAACAGTAAAACGAGGAGAGCCATGAGGATGTAGTCAACTGGGAAGGCCTTGGCAGACTGCAGGAAGATCCAGTTGATGGGCTGGAAAATGTTGATATGGCCAAGGATGTAGCCACATCGTTCCTTGCACAGCGAGTTCTTCGCCTTGTCAATGCCTGTGATCAACATCGAGACCCAAATCAAGATGGACAGCAGGAGTATCAGAACACCTCCGAGCAGCTTGATGGGCCTCAGAACGGCGCAGATCTTCAGCCAGATTTTGTAGATGGTGCTGTGACCCTCTCCCGATGCCTCCGCCGCCAGTCTCTCCCGACGGGTCAGAGTCCTCTCCTCCCGAATGAGGGCCTCAAGCTCACGCCTGTCCTTGGATGACATGCCTTCGGGGCGTCCAGCATTGCGCATCTCCAGCTGTCGCTGTCGCTCGCGGTTCTGTTCCAAGGCGGAGGCAGTGTTCTCTGAGAGCTGAGGTGCGGAAATCGAGGGCGCTGACTTGATGAATGACATGGGAAGAAGAGCGAGGCCGGCCGCAGTGTAGAGGATATAGAGCAGAGTGCCCAGAGTGACGAGAAGGCCGAGTGCGAAGGCCAGCGCCTTTTGCCCATTGTTTTGAACAAGAACCCGCTTGAAGTAATCCAGATCCCAGTTGGCCTCCGAGTCGCTACCGGCAGCTGGCACGAAGAAGCCGATGAGGAAGAGAATCACAACCAGAACAACGAAGACCAGGGTGTACTTGAGCGCGCTGACCAGGCGGCTGCCGAACGAACGTCCCTCCTCGACCTCGATCTCATCGTATTCCTCGTACCAGAAGTATGCGAAGGGAATCACAATGAGACACAGCAGAGCGTCGAAGCTGTAAAGAGAGTAGTAAACGATGCGAAGTGTCTGCAGAATCTCGTAAACCCGTTCTTCGGTAGCCCAGTCTTTCTTGACCCCGAGTGATGCATGAGTCGTGGACGAGATGAGAGCGATGTCGACAGGGAGGAGCAGGACAGTTGCGAGGAGAGCTGTCAGACTGACGATCGCAACAACGCTGACTATGGCAGATCGCTCCCGGGGTGCCTGCCAAGTGAAAGTGGTGATGATGGCTGCCAAAAGGCAGAGGCCGACGGCAACAGCATACGCCACCCAAATCAGGCTGGTTTGGAGGAGGCCGGCGTTGGCCATTTTGATCGCGAAACGGCAGCGCCTCTTGGAATAAAGGGTGTTTTTTGAGAAACAAAATGTTTGGCTGTTTTGCGCGAAGTCGAATTGGAGGGGAGCTGTGGATAAGGTGTCGTCGATGTTTCACTCTGCCTCATTCCAGAAGGGGGGAGCTCCAGAGCTACGATGGATGGTAAATAGTGACGGAACTACTGGAACAGGTAGCTTGGGCAAGGCAGGTAGGTGACGCAATAGCGCCGTTTAGCGCCTTCTGATCCTGACCTCAGTCGCGACAGAGCTATTGACTGAGGTGGCGCTATGACCAGGATCCAGTCAGTACTTGCAGGCGCAGGTTGCTGAGGTGAGGTGCCCCGGGCTTCACCTGCCCGGAAGAGAGGACTTTCTGTTGATCCGTCATCCGAATCTCGCCCAATCAGACGGCGCAGACGATGGGTAGCAAGGACCCGCGATTATTTAGAGCTCGCGCGCCTGCAAGAGAGCTTTTGGCGATTTGCGACGATCTCGACACGACCTCACCCGAGCATCTCTCTCGCCAAATTCGAAACCTATGACAGCGGGCGGCTCAAGGGCAATCGCCTGAGACTGTCCTCATGCAGTGCTATACCGAGCTCACGCCGCCGACTGGCGTGCAGCACAGCCTGAGTCTCCCTTTCCTCTCGGCGCAGAGCAACAATCTGGTCGTCGCAAAGGGCTCGCTGCTTCAAATCTTTGCAACAAAGACCATCTCGTCAGAGATTGACCACACGCAGAATCGTGAGAAACAGACCTCGAGGGCTGATACCCAGTACGACCGCCGATTGAACGACGACGATGGCCTCGAATCCTCCTTCCTTGGCGGCGACGGCATGCTGGTTCGCGCCGATCGCACCAACAACACCAAGCTTGTCCTCGTCGCCGAATACCCAATATTTGGAGTCGTGGCAGGCCTTGCGAGGATCAAAATTCAAAATTCCAAGTCTGGAGGCGAAGCTCTGTTGATTGCTACAAGAGTGGCTCGTTTGAGTCTGGTGCAATGGGATCCCGAGAAACACGCACTCGAGGACGTCTCCATCCACTTCTACGAAAAAGAAGAGCTCGAAGGCTCGCCATTCGATGGCCCGTTGAGCAATTACCCAACTCATCTTGCTGCCGATCCCGGCTCCCGATGTGCCGCTCTCCGATTTGGCTCCAGATACATCGCCTTCCTACCCTTCAAACTAAACGATGAGGACATAGATATGGATGACTGGGATGAGGATGTGGATGGACCTCGGCCGGCAAAAGAGCCGTCAGCAACTGCGGCTACAAATGGAACTAGCAACTTAGCAGATGTACCATACTCAACGTCATACGTCCTCCCTCTCCCGCAGCTTGATCCCAGTCTCCTCCATCCTGTGCACCTCGCCTTCCTGCATGAGTACAGAGAGCCGACCTTCGGTATCATCTCTTCAATGCAGCGCCGCTCCAACACCCTACCTCGGAAAGACCACTTCTCCTACAAAGTCTTTACCCTCGATCTGCAACAACGGGCATCCACGGCTATTCTTTCCGTCAACAACTTGCCGCAGGACCTCTTCAAAGTCATTGCCCTTCCAGGCCCTATTGGAGGAGCGCTTCTCGTCGGCACCAACGAGCTGATCCACATTGACCAGTCTGGCAAGCCCAATGGCGTGGCGGTCAATGCGTTCACCAAGGAGACGACCAGCTTTCCTCTGGCCGATCAGTCGGAGTTGGATCTGCGGCTCGAGCACTGCTACATTGAGCAAATGTCTCCTGAGAATGGAGAGCTGCTCATGGTGCTCAGCGATGGTCGTTTGGCCATCATCGCTTTCAAAATCGATGGACGTACCGTTTCCGGACTCAGTGTCAGGATAGTACTCGCGGAGGCTGGAGGCAACGTTGTGCAGTGCGGTGCCTCTTCGATTTCAAGGCTGAGCAAGAACGCGTTCTTTATTGGCAATACTGGTAGCGACTCCCTCGTTGTGGGTGTCACCCGGAAACAGACACAAAACGCGCGGAAGAAAACGCGTTTGGTTGACGACTCTTTCGCGGACGACCTCGAAGATGAGGATATCGACGACGACGACGATGATGATCTTTACGGCGAAACCACAACGACAGTCCCGTCGAGCACAGCCGCTAATGGCGTGCCCAAAGGAGGAGAGATATCGTTCCGCGTTCACGACTCTCTCCTGAGTTTAGCTCCGGTCAAGGATATGACGACGGGCAAGCAAGCTTTCATCCCGGAGAGCGAGGACGAGAAGAACTCGGTCGGCGTCGTAGCTGATTTGCAACTTGCGGCTGCCGTCGGCAAGGGTAATGCAGCCGCCATCGCCATCATGAACCAGAACATTCAACCAAAGGTCATTGGCAAGTTTGAGTTCCCAGAGGCGAGGGGATTCTGGACCATGTGCGTTCAAAAGCCGATTCCAAAATCACTGCAGGGCGATAAGGGCGCAAATGCTGCTGTGGGCAGCGAATTCGATGCTTCATCTATATACGACAAGTTTATGATTGTTTCCAAGGTTGATCTAGACGGTTACGAAACGTCAGATGTTTATGCTCTTACAGGCGCTGGTTTTGAGGCTTTCACGGGGACAGAGTTTGATCCTGCGGCAGGTTTTACGGTGGAGGCGGGCACTATGGGAAAACACATGCGTATCATTCAGGTTCTCAAGTCTGAGGTGCGATGCTACGATGGAGGTGAGTTATCGGCACTTGTGACTGTCGTTCAACGCTGACGAACAAGCCAGACCTCGGCTTGAGTCAAATCTTGCCGATGCTTGATGAGGAGACGGGAGCTGAACCACGAGTCGTCAGTGCCAGCATCGCGGACCCCTATCTCCTGCTGGTACGAGATGATGCGAGCATTATGGTGGCTCAAATTGATAACAACAACGAACTCGAAGAGATGGAAAAGCAAGACGACACTATCTTATCAACACAATGGCTTGCCGGGTGTTTGTACACCGACACCACCGGTGTGTTTGCTCCAATCCAAACCGACAAGGGTACGCCAGAGAGCCAAAGCATTTTCATGTTCCTGCTCAGCGCAGTGGGAGCTTTATATGTAAGTCCGTTTCACAACATTTGATTTCCAACTTCTAACGAAACCAGATATACGCTCTTCCCGACCTCTCAAAACCGGTCTATGTTGCTGCTGGAATGACCTACGTCCCCCCATTTCTCTCTGCGGACTACGCCGTTCGTCGAGGCACAGTTCAAGAGACATTGACGGAAGTTCTCGTGGCCAAATTGGGCGATGCCACGGAGTCTTCGCCATATCTTATTGTGAGTTCTGTTCGATGAAAGCTTTACGGCGTATCATTCTGACTCAGTTGACAGCTTCGACATGCAAACGACGACATTACTATATATGAACCCATTCGCCTTGAATCGCAGGACAAGTCCGAGGGCCTTGCAAAGACTCTCCACTTTCAAAAGATCACAAATCCGGCTCTGGCCAAGAGCCCAGTTGAAGTAGCAGATGACGATGCCAATGAGCAACCTCGTTTTGTTCCTCTTCGACCGTGCGCAAACATCAACGGCTACAGCACCGTCTTCCTTCCTGGTGCTTCGCCATCCTTCATCATCAAATCTGCCAAAAGCGCTCCCAAGGTGTTGGGTCTGCAGGGCATCGGCGTTCGTGGCATGAGTTCTTTCCATACCGAAGGCTGCGAGCGCGGTTTCATTTACGCCGATTCAGAGGGGCACACACGTGTCACGCAATTGCCCGCCGACACAAGTTTCGAGCTAGGTGTGTCCATTCGCAAGATCCCAGTCGGAGATGCTATCGGTCTCATCGCCTACCATCCTCCCATGGAGACGTACGCCGTTGCCTGCAGTGTGTCGGAGCCCTTCGAGCTCCCCAAGGACGACGACTACCACAAGGAATGGGCCAAGGAGACCATCACCACGCTCCCGCAGATGGAGCGCGGTATCATCAAGCTCCTCAGTCCCGCCACATGGTCCGTCATTGACACTGTCGAGCTCGATCCCCACGAGGTTGCCATGTGTATGAAGACGCTCCACCTCGAAGTGTCCGAGGAGACCAAGGAACGCCGCATGCTTATTGCCATTGGCACGGCCGTCAACCGCGGCGAGGACCTGCCCATCCGTGGCCGCATCCTCGTATACGATGTCGTGCCCGTTGTGCCCCAACCTGGACGCCCAGAGACGAACAAGAAGCTCAAGCTGGTCGCCAAAGAGGAGATTCCCCGCGGCGCCGTCACCGCTCTTTGCGAGGTTGGATCGCAAGGCCTGATGCTCGTCGCGCAGGGGCAGAAGTGCATGGTCCGTGGCCTGAAGGAAGACGGCACCCTCCTGCCTGTCGCATTCATGGACATGAGCTGCTACGTCACCTCCGTACGCGAGGTGCGAGGCACCGGCTACTGCCTCATGGCTGATGCCTTCAAGGGTGTCTGGTTCGTGGGCTACGCAGAAGAGCCTTACAAGATAATGCTCTTCGGAAAAAGCACTGGCAAGTTTGAGGTCTTGACAGCAGACTTTTTGGTCGATGGAGACGAGCTGCACATCGTCGTCTGCGACAAGGACGGCGTCATTCACGTAATGCAATTTGACCCTGAGCGTAAGTCTCCCCCGTATCCCCGACTGCTTGGCAAATCACTAACCATCCGCAGACCCGAAGTCTCTCCAAGGCCACTTGCTGCTCAACCGTGCCTCCTTCTCGGCTGCGCCGAACCACCCTACTGCAACCTTATCACTGCCCAGAACAACCACCACCGCACAATCCGCATCCGCGTCCAAAAACCCACCATCAACGCTCATGCTTGCTTCTCCCACGGGTGTTCTTGCGGCCCTGACCCCGCTATCAGAGCAGGCTTACCGACGCCTGACATCCCTGTCCAATAGCATTGCCGCAGCGCTCCCTCACGCAGCCGCCACGAACCCAAAGGCTCACCGGCTCCCGCCCCTGGACGCGCGCCCGCCGGGCGTCGACACAAGCGCCGGACGCACCATCGTCGACGGCGCGCTCCTATCCCGCTGGAACGAGCTCGGCGCAGGACGCAGGTCGGAAGTCGCCGGCAAGGGCGGCTACGGTAACGTGCTGGAGGTCCGGGGCGAGCTGGAAGGGATCCTCGGATGGAACGGGTTGGCCTACTTCTGAGGCAATTGTAAAATAGGAGGATCATCGCGTTGGGGGCTGAGTATCTTTTTGAAGTTGGGCCTTTTGGAACAAGGCCTTGGTGCAGCAATTGCGAGAAAGCGTTTTCAAGAGGCAAAAGTTAGATCGACGACACTTTTGGTAATAGGAATATTCGAAAACCAAGTACATTCACAATATGACCATTGCTTGCCTCACGTGCTGTGATATGCTGGTCATCAAATGACGCAATGCGCGCTGTCATTTAACGTTATTGAGTGCCATTACCATGACTAGAAATCTAACCTCATGCTGAGGTGCCTATGTTTGTCCTAATTTATTCTTCGTAATGCCTTTCTAGGCAATCGTAACTCAAGCTCGTCATTGGCCCTGAGGCGTTCAAATTCATTTTCGCTCGAAGCAACACAATGCTCTTCTCTCGTGGTTGACCTCACCAACCGCAGAGCCAATCCCTCCGCCCAAACCTTAACAGTGTTCCTTGTATCGTACACTCTCATACCTTTTGGTAGTTACTAAATATTCCGAGAAGCGCGACCGAGTAGGCGCAACTAAGACATTACGTCATGGCGACGTGGTATTACATGAGAAATAAGCCCAAGACTAAATGACCTGGATGTGACATCTAGGCTGCAGCTTGATGTTTTCGACGAATACTTCCGAAGCGGCGCTTCAGACCGTCACTAAGACGCTTGCCAGTGCTGTTGTGACGGCGCACATCTGCGCTGTTCGACTGTCCGGCGGGCGTCTCTGATGGGCCGGGCCTCCCGTCGGCGACATTGCTCACGCTACGCTGACGAACCGTGGCACCGAGATTCTTTCGTGACTGGCTGTTGGCACCGGGATGCATCTCATACTCAACAGGGCCGTTGCCGAGGGACGCCTTGCGCATGCGCTTCTTCTCCTTAAGATCTCTTTCGTAGGTGTACGAAGGCTCGCCCTTTCCTTTGAGATCATCAGGGTGGTACGGCTGTTCTTAGTCAGACATTGCAGATGACGTCAAAATTGGAACAGCAGACTTACGATTCCATCCCATCGTTTGTAAGCACCGCCCTGCGCGTCAGGCTCGCGCATGAGGTCCGCTCCCTCCTCATAGTTCATAACGTTGCCGCGCATGTCGCTGCTGCCGACGGGGACGGTGCCGGTTCCTTGAAGAGGAACATGCTTGGTAAGGGAATCTTGGATATATTCACGGGGAGTTGCTCTCAAAGCCTCCTCGTTTGATTCCTTGACGGCCTCAACTGGGGCGTACTGCTTGTTGCGGTTGCGCGACGCCAAAGTGGCGTCATACGGGCCGCCATGGTGGTAGACACCACCTATGGTGTCGAGCCCGTCAATGGTGTCGGTCATGGGACCATTCTTGCGAGTGCGAAGGTGAGGAGCGCGGTCTGCTGCGCGATGCTCCTTCTTGAGCATGTCCAGAGGTCTGTGAGACATATCGCCGTTGTATCTTTGGTTCAATGAACCGGAGCGACGGAGACCGCTAGGGACGTTGTGATGGTTTACGCTTTTGCTGCGCTGGACAGACGAGTCGGCACGACCTTCTTCTTCGTTGATAGGCCGGTTGCGCGCGCTGAAGCTCCGCGTGACGCTAGTACTCGGAGGCAGAGTGTTGCGAACACTGGTGCTGCGACCTAGAGGCCTGTGAGGAGCAGAGGACGAAGCAGGTGAACCGGGTTCTCTGGGCGAGGGCAGTGATGCGCGGTTGTTGTAAGTGGGTGAGAACGGGTTCGAAGAGTGAAAGCTGGAGCGTGTCGGGCTCGCGGATGTAGGCGGGGTTGGATACGACGAAGCCTGGCTGTGGCTCCTATGACTTCTCTGGCTCTTATCGCTCGGCTGGACCGGGTCTTTTCCTTTCTTCCTCTGTGAGAAAGTACGAAGCAATGGGTCAGGGTTGATGAATGAGCTTCCAGGTCCGGTTTCCTGGCTAGGTTCAGGTGCAGTGAGTGGATCAAGCAAGTAAGCCTTTGCCTAAGAAGAATAATGTTAATTGAATGTGAGTTGAGAAGATGGACGCAAGAAGACGACTAGACACGAGGAGTTATAGATAAGAAGTCGAACGACGAGCAAGGACGCGCATGTGTAAGTGGAGGGACCCGTATTATTTACGTCGTCAAGGGCTTAGCTGCAGTCTGGATGATGCCAGCCAGCTTGTCGAGGTCCTTGGAAATCCGATGGCTTGGATGAACAGTGACGCAAGAAGGGACTTCCAGCCGCCTAAGCTTGGGTGGCTGAACCGTGCAGTGCAGGGGACCCGTCCGTACCTTGCTTCCCGACTCACTTGGGTTGGCAGGGGTAGCTTGGGTAGACTTGGGGCTTAGAATAGCAGGCAGGCTTGGGCACGGGCAGAGAAACCGGTCGGGCGTCCTGCCCGCGGGCGCGTTAGGGGGGGGGGAGACGGGACGATCGGCTTCGACCACGTTGAGTGAGTTCTTGGGCCTCGAACTTTGCTTGGGGCGGCAGCAGTGACGGAATGTTGGAGCCGTAGACGGGCGAGACGGAAGATGACAAGACGGTGGATGCGACGGTGACGGGCTAAAAAGAGTGGAGACAACAAGGGAATGGGTGAATGGCAGACGAGAACTTGAGCGATGACGATGATAGGGCCGACCGTAAGGCCCAGGCCTAGCCAGCCATGTTGAACCGCAATGAGTGTTCGTCGAGATAATAGTACGACAAATGATGATGGATGGGGTCCGTGTTTCGTTGCAATGCCTGTAAATAAAAAACCGACCATGGACTTACCCACTGCTTGTTGCTGCCTGAATCGTCCATATTGTTTTTGGTGTAATTGCTGTGGCTGTGTCTTTTGTTGTGGTTCTCGAGGGTCGTCGGGTATTGGCGCAATACGCAGTACAGCAAAGCGAAGCGAAGCGATGCAATGCAGCAGAATGACAGAACGAGAGATGAGAGGACGCAAAAATCGGGGACAGAGATGCAGGTGTGAGAGCCCTTTTGAACAACAATGCAGTAGTAGAGGTGGTCTTCACCTTCAGCGTCGTCCGCTATTCCGTTTGGTGGGATGAGTGAGGTGCACACCCGGGGGCGAGGAGGGCGACGGACGAGGACAAGGACGACAGAGTCATGAGGGTGTGGGCGTGATGCCGACGACAGGCACAGTCAGTCCAGGCCTTTCAGACCAGGCGATCCCAGTCCTTGTCAGGCAAGTGTGAGGTGCGCCAGTGTGCGGATGCAGCGTGGCCTGCACCTTCTTCATCGCGGCGCTGGGCTTCTGGGAACATGCCCGGACGGGAAGTGACCATCATGGGACCTGCGCTGGCCGGGTCGCCCGAGCTTGCCATTGGTGAGAAGTTTTGTGGTGTTCTTTTGGTTCTTCTCTGGCAGGGAGGGGGAGGGGAAAGGGAAGGGAAGGAGGAGGGGTGGGCATGTGCGAAGGGACCGGATGATGTGGGTGGGAAGGCGGGGACGATGTGCTGCTCATGCTCTTTACCTGGCAAGCCTGGTTCTGGTAGCTGCAATTATTGGACGAAAATCCGTCACCTTCTGTTTGGAAAGAAGCTGCACATTCATGCTTCTCATGCCTAGTTCCTAAATGCAATGCTTGTGATTTTACGCTCACCTTCTCAAAACCACCGTCGTCCAAATGTTCTCTCCATATATCCCCTCCGCCGTCCAGAGTCAGGGTCCAAAGCGCCCCGGCCCCGATCCGCACACGAGACATGTCGCCTCGCCCATCACGTTACCACTTTCCCCTCAGCGGCTCCGCTGGCAGAGACACCTAACTTAGATCCACCCGGCAGGGCAAGACCAAGACCACGGCATCCTCGGCCGCCCAGGGACCAAAGGAAACAATGAGAAACGAAACATTTCAACCGCTAGGCCACCTTAGCTCAGCCACAAGCACGCCGTCAGCGGGACACGCGGGCCTTTAGAACCTCGTCCGTCTCTCGTGTCTGTTCTTCTCATCGTCCTCGCATTGGCTCCCAATTCCTACGTCATGCGATCAACAAAACTTTAAAAAATCCCATTTTAGCCAGGGGACCAGCAGCCACGACACGCCGCAACATCCCATTTACCAGACCACCTCTCCCACGCAGCAACCGTCACAGAGCTGATACCATGAGCAAATTAGCAGACCACTCATAAGTGCCGCTATTGATTGCAATGCGCGTCTGTGTGAAAAGGAAAGAAGAAGAAAAAACATGCAATGGGTCACCCGGCCTCTCACCGAGCTTCCGAGTGGCCCTTCCGGGGCGCCAACGGGGCTCGCCGCAAGTCCCCGGTCCACGTCTCACTGCCCCTCAAGTCAGGGCTATGCTTGCTCCGATACCTGGCGGAACACGTCGCCCTACCGGGACCGGTCACTTGCTGTCAACGAGTGAGAGCCATAAGCTTAAAATTATGGCCCGTCGGTGTTTTCATGCTGGTTATGGGCGAAGATGAGCAATGCTGCTCTCATTTGCGCCGCCTTATGCCGCGACTAACTCGTTCTTACTCACGCTAGACGCTCAGTCAAGCTCACGATGCTGCTAAAAGTCTAGAATTTCAGTAGATGGTGCCCATAAGCAGCTTTGACAAGGCAGCTACGTAAAAGGTTTGTTGCTGATTGTAGTTGCGTGCGCGCCTCATTCAGCGTGCATGGGGAGCTTAGACCTTACCTTGCGTATGACGTACCGGGATCGAGATCTGGCTGAAAAGCTTCGCTCGCAATTCGCAAGGTGTCAACTGCCCTGGGCTTTTCTTACCACCGCCTTTTTGTGTGCATGACTGACAGGTTCCACCACCTGCCTCTTTGCTATGGCGCTTTGATACCTTCACGTGTCTCACATCTCTCAACTGCTACTGCGCGCTTCTAGGCGACCTCGCAGAACCCCTCAGGTGCAGCAAAAAGCAAATGCATCACGCTCTCGCCTGTTACTCATTGGCCTGATAGCTGTACCGGCCAGCTTCCGTCGCGTCCCGCAGACCCAACCGGGTCTTTCGCTGCGGGATCCCCCATCTAAGACCGCGGCCCCCAGCTCCCTGCCGCCGGGCAATGGCTCTCGTCGACTACTCGTCGTCCGACTCGGCATCTGAGCCGGGCTCACCCCCGCCCAAACGCCGCAAGGCCGCCGACGGTGGCCCGGAAGGGCCCGTCGCCAGCAAACACAACAAGACCACCGGCACTGCTTCATCCGCGAGTCAACCGGAAGGCAACTCCGCACTGCCTCCGCTCCCGGAGGAATTCCACGACTTGTATGCCTCCACCGTACGAACCAGCACCGCCGATGATCCCACCCTCCACCAGGGTCGGAAGCGTGCCATTCCACACATCGTCGGCCATTGGCCTTCTCACGTCTACATTGAATGTAAGACACACACACTCTCTCTCTTTCTCTCTCTCTTTTGTACCTCTTTTGTCTCTCGAGCTTACAAAATTCCTCTAGGGCATCCAACAGCATCCCAGCACGCCCTGCTCACAAATCTCCTAGCCAAGATCGCGCCCCTTCTCAAGTCTCAAAAGCTGCAACCTCTACTAACCTCAGACCTAAACGCCCCGCTGCCCCTCCACGTCTCCCTCACCCGCCCTCTCTCCCTGACCACAGCTCAAAAGGACGACTTCCTCTCCGCCCTCACCTCGTCCGTCTCCCACGCCACAGGGCCCTTCACCCTCTCCCCGCGCGGGATGGGCTTCTTCAAATCCCCAGACTCGGACCGCGCCTTCCTGATCCTCCGTGTCGCTGACCCCCTCGCCTCCTCACGAGATAGCAACACCACCACCGGCAAGAACCCGCAGCTCCGCGCCCTGCTGACAAAGTGCAACACCGTCGCTCTCCGCTTCGGCCAGCAGCCGCTATACCAGGCCCGCGCGACCGAGCTCGTCGACGACGCCTTCCACGTGAGCATCGGCTGGACGTTTGGCCTGCCGCCCGAGGACGCGTGTCTGCAGACGTACGGGATGTTGCGGCTTCCGGAGTTTGCAGAGGTGAAGAAGTGGGAGATTCCCGTCTCGGGCGTCAAGGCCAAGATCGGGAACGTGGTGACGCATGTCCCACTGCGGGATGCGCAGAAGAGGGATGGCGAGGAGGACAGTCTGTTCGGATGAGGGTCGCCGCTATTCGTTGGACCTGCATACGCGTCACAAAGCAAGAAAGCCCAATGTGGCTTCAGTGAAACACTAATAGAAGTGTTGGTATCAATTTTGTATGTACAGCCTGGTCACGGTACCAGCACAGTGTGCCCTTGGTCTTTCCGGGAAAAGGGGATGAAAGAGGAAAAGAAAGACAGAAACGCCATTAGCCCCGTCCGGCCATGCAGTGAGTAGATGCCATGCTAGGATGTGAAAATTAAAGATGTCTATCTATAACTCGTCCAGCGGCCGCCTCTGGAAGCTCCAGTTCCTCTCGATAACGGGGAGGCCAACGAAGCCTTGGTACAGACGAGCCAGCTCTACTGCGAGGATGTTGAAACTACCACCTTAGTTAGACTTTGTCGACTATCAGCACAGGGTCATAAACTTACAAGGTCTTGGGGAAGGCGGCCCAACGCGAGATCACGAATTTGGTAGCCTTGATGAAGCGGCCGAATTCTTCATCAAAGGCCTCGTCGAAGGCTTCCCTGACGGTCTGTTCCGATCGCGGCTTGTCCTCTGGGTAGTCCTCGGCCGTGATAGGCTCTGGCTCCGTTGACGTGACCACATTGTGCGGCTTCTTGGCCCTGTCGGGAATTGCAGTGGTGGGTTCGGCGGCAGCAGCCACGGCAAGAGCCTCCTCGGCGTCTACCATGGCCCGGAACTTGCCAATGGCAGCCAAGGAGCTGCTAATACGAGCATAGGTATTGAAGAGGGCGACGAGCTCGGTGCGCTTCAACACGGGGATGTCCTTGCTGTGGTTGTCGAATTCGAAGAGGACCTTCAGAGCAGTGCCGTAGCCGGCAGTCTGGAGCTTGCCCCAGAGGCGGCACTTGTCGCAGCCCACACAATCCATGACACGACTGACGTTGCGGAAGCGGTTGCGAAAGTCCTCTTTCAGAGACGGACCCTCGCCATTCTTAAACATGAGGCTCTCGTCGAAGATCTGCGGAACACTAGCCGCACCCTCAGTAACTTCAAGAATCTTTGCTCTGGTGGCAGCGTCCTGGTCCAGATCCCCCGTACAGAAGGTATAGTCTCTACCCTGAAGATAAGGTCCCAACTTGGCGATTGCACGAGTGACCAAGGCATAGTTGAAGTACAGGTTGCTGATCCGCTCTGGGTGGGTGTGGAGGCGTTGCTTATAGCAGGCCAGGTTGGGTTGCCATTGACCCGTAGTCTGGTTAAGGAAGTCCCAGCAAAGATGAGTGCTGATGCTCGCGTGCATGCCCGAAACCACGCGGTAGAAAACCCGCTTCTCGATGCACTCGTCTTCGGACTCTAAGCCGGTCTGGGCGACAAACGGGGCGTTGGGCTGCTTCTCGCGCATCTGCTCCAAAAGCTGCTCTCGTCCAGCGGCTTCGAGAACCTGCCTGAAGTCTTGCGCCGCTGGTCCCTTGTTGCTGACTTGTGACTGACCCAGAGACGCGGAATGGGGGAAGGAGCTCTTTTGGAAGCAGTTCTCCCGGTAGATGGCGTCCCAAACCTGGGCGGCGCCAACTCCCGCGTATCCAGTGAACCGCTCGGGATTGCGGAGGAGGCTTACGTAGTCTCCCTTCGAGGTTGCGCTCTCATCCTCCGGCACGCAGTAGTCACGCTCGTCGCACTCGTCGTCGTATTCCACTACACAGCTTTCACCAACCTCGTCGCCCAGCTTTCCTTGTAACGGTCGTTCGGGGCGCTCGTGCTGCACCTTTCTCGGGGGGTGTTTCGCCAAGGGTCCTTCCAACTTTCCAAGCTCGCTCGCCCGCCAGACTTCGGGAATATCCTCCTCGTTATCCAGGGTCTCAACGGCACAGGCGATGTTGCCGCACATGCCATTCTCGTCGTTCCAAAAGGGGCATTTCTTGTGGAAGAGGTTCAGTCGGTAGTGCGAGAAAAAGTCCGTCGAGCTTGTGAGGTCGTCGACGAAGGGCTTGACCTTGGCGTTCAGCTTGTCGAGGGTAGAGTACGAGGCGCATGCGTCGGACACAATGGCCTTGGGCGAGATCTGGTACGATGCGTTAGAGACGGAGAACCGATAGCGGGATGCCGCTGCGAGGGCACAGGTCGCGAAGAAGAAAAAGAAAACGGCGGCATACCGCACAATCATCTTGGGCGCGTTCGCATTGGACTGGCGACCCCAAGAGCGCGAAAACGGAGAGGAAGAATAGTCTGCTTGCAGACTTCATGGTGAATGGTTCGCCGTGGGCGGGGATGACCGGACCGGACTGTTTAATATGCGACGCAATGACAAGAACAGGTGGTCGCAGGAGAAGAGGTTGTTAATGGAGAATGCGGACGACAAGTTTCCAAAGGTTGGCTGAAACGTCCAGAGCGTCCGGGCTGGATGCGTGGATCCGAGGCAGTCTTATGCCTGTGGCGCCTGCAGCGTGCAAATAAGCCGGACGGGTCAGGCAGCGCCAAAGGTTAAGTTGAGTGAGGTTCGTTTTGGCGAAACGGCCCGGGGGCGCTGAAAGCTAGAGATGAAGTGTAAATGGGCCAGGTGTGGTTCTCCAGTCTTGTCTCAAGTCTGACATAAAGATGGAGGTGGCATGAGCATGGGCCTGTCACCGCACGATCGACGTTGTTCTCTTGGCCAGGAGCTCTTATTTAAAGACGGCCGTGGAACCCTGGAGGACGTTGGAGAAGATGACAGCGTGGACGGCTGTGCAAAGACCACGGACGATAGGGTAAGAGTGAGAAGACCAGACAAGTGGCCAGCAATTAAAACGGGATCGTCGGGGCCTTTTGCAGGTTGCCAGCTTTCCTGTCCTCAGAAGTGAGGAGTCATGTATTCATTGGATTGGAATCTGTCCTCAATCTAACATTAAAGGCAAAAACCGTATGCGTAGGTAGCACACCGTACAGCACAGTAGGACCTGCCAAGCGTTGAAGCAACAATGGAGCCCACCCTTCAGGCTGATTAATTCGTCGGAGCTGGGCCCTGACTCCCTGAGTGCCGTCAAATACACTGGATCGTACTACTTTATCTGGCGAGGATTAGCTGATCCTCAAACGCGAGCCCGATCCCAAGTACCTCAGTCGCCTGGGGCAAGCGAAAGGGTACATCGCTCTCAGGGCTGTCTTACGGGGGCGAAAGGCTAATTTAGGCGTTGGTGAAAGGTGTCCTTCTTGGTGGAAAATCAGCAGATGCAGGAGCCAATTGGAACCACTCTGGCGCCAAATGGTTCCTCATGGCTTCCGCCGTTCCAGATCGCCTCTCGGATGCCGCCGCCGCCATCCAACTCGGCTTGGTGCATCCGCAACTTGCCAATTGCAGACCACGGCGCCTCTGTTATACGTCTGGCTACTCGTTGTCCCCTGTAGCCTTGCCCGCTTTGCACATGCCGACACCAGATGCACAAAAACTCACTTCTGTGAGCCTTCTCCAGCTTGCACATGTTCGTCATCGCGAAGTCAAAAGTGACGTCTCGCACTCTATCGATCAGGACTACCTATGGCATGGACCCAAGAATATGCAATAAAACTGCTGTATTATACCGCATGCACAGCATCCCGTCTGCATGTCTTGCCATAGCACACCATGCTTTTGGAACAAAATTCTGCCCAAGCATGACTACTATCGTTGTGTCTCACGTCACTCTAAGCTTCGTCGCATGTCCACGAGCTAATAGGATGCTAGTCTCTGCTGGTCTCATGTTCAACTTGATTGAGCTTTTGAAAACTGCATGACCGCATTGAATCCACGCGTCTATGCCTATGTCCCTAAGCTCCGTCTTCATTATCGTCGTTGGCCGAGCTATTCAGGCGATAGCCAATAACGACTATCTATACAACCGGCGCGCCGCTCCTGCTTGCTGCCCAGGGTGCGAGAGGCTCTCGTTGACGGCCGTTCGCAATCTCTGCGTTGGCAAAGTTCAGCGGCATCGGCTTGGAAGAAGACGCGCCAGCCCAGCACGCCGGGCGATAGAACTCCTCCCTCATCAGACAGATCCTCAACTGGGTTCCAAGACAATCAACAGACAGCAAGCAGTACAGTCCAACACTAACAAATCCCGATGACTCAAACCGCCCAAATAAATGCAATAGCCGTAATGGTATGCGCCGTCTTTTACACCATTTGTCGTGGCCCCCAAAGACGAGGTATTATTATCTCCCAATCTCTTTTCATGAATCTCTAGAGAAAACTTCCGTCATCAATGGCCGTCATTCGTGTCGTTGAAAGCGTTGCCCACACAGGAAATCTGCGGAGCGGGAGGCGGGCATTTGTTCCGCGTTTGCAGGGTAACAAGGAATTCGCCTCGCTTCTCGAATCACTGAGGGGGCTGGTAGTTGAGGGGACGCCTATGGCAGCATGTTAGATAAACACCGTGGGGGCGAAGTCAAGGGAAAGGCAGACGAACTTGAACAGCAAAATATGCGGCTCCGGCTCATGAACCTCGTAATGCTCCCAGCCCAAACTCTGCACATCATGTCAGCCTGTTATGTTCCGTGCGGGAGAAGTTCGGACTCATACCTGAGTGATACCAAGTGCGCGCCATTCCTCCTCCCAAAGCAGCTTCAACGTTCCGTGGCTGGCATCATGGTAATCTTTGGGGATAGCCTTGAGCATGGCTTTGGGAAGCTGCACATGACGATACTCGAATTCGCTGTCGGAATACCTAGATGTGAAGGACTGGGTCAGTTCCATGCGGTCCCTGCTGTTGTGCACCAGCACGAAGGCAATGAGGGACTGGAGTTGTTGCATACCGTGCCGAGTAGTGGATGGAGTCGATGAACTCGTCCAACCGACCCCGTTCGGAGTCGGACAGAGGGCGCGGGACCTTGTTGCGACGGCTCATGTCGATATCCATGGCGGCTGCTGTGTCTGTGTCTGCGTGCGTTTGGGTTGCTGTCTGTGGGATGAACGGGTGGCGTCTAGTCTCGGTACCACAAAGGCGAGACAGCCGGCGGGGTAGGTCTCGGTTCGAAGACTGCAAGAGTTCGAGTGACGGGTGACAGCGAAGGCGACAGCGGCGACGGCGGTCGGGACTGGCGATGCTCGGCGATGCTCGACTCTCGGACGGTTGGGGGTCTAAGGACGCGAGCGAGGACTCGGGGCCAGCAGTTCTAGGTCAGGCGACCAAAGCCAAGCAGATGCGAGGTCGAGGGTGGTAAACAACAAGTGCAGGCGGGGTAGGCAGGAATTGACGCTGAAACAGGCTGTTCCAGCTTCACCGACTGACTCAAAGGGGGGAAATGAGCTGGGAAGCAACGAGAGACGAGAGAGGGAGGTCGGGGGACGGAGAGCTTGAACCGATCTCGAAAAATATGGCGGAGGAGGTGGCTGGCGCGCAAGAACGAGGGGTTATTATTCAAAGAGTGGGAAAAAGATATGGCCTGTAAACAAAAGTCGGATTGGATCACAGTCAATTCAGACCCCAGCACCACGGCCGCCGGTCCACCTGTGACCGTCCACCACTACCAATTGGCCCTTGGGGTCCGAGGCGTTTTTTTTTCTTCTTCCCTTCGCTCCCCTGCGGCAACTTCCGCTTTGGTTATGTTGGCCCTGCTCAGGTGTACCGAGGCGCTGTATTTTGGATCGAGAGTACCTGTGGTGGCTTACCTAGGACCCGACTCACCAACTCCCAACACTGACCGACAGACTGTGTGAGAGCGGTGTGTCGACTGCCTTTTTTTCTTCCTTTTTTTTTTCTTCTTCCCCTAGCCTTCCCCTTCCCCTCTGCCTCCGTCCTTCCTCTATCGTGCCCGTGACATCTCGGTCTGAGAATCCGCAACGGCTGGATCCACCCAACCGGCTGCCAACCGGCTGCCAACCGGCACCAGCCTTCTTCCAGTGTCCCAACAGCGACGGTTCTCTGCATCCGCACACTCCACTCTCTTTTCACAGCATTTTACGGTCAAGAACCACCACGCCTGCCAAGTTCTGGGTGCCTCGAAAACTGCTGCGCACCTGAGGCACTAACGAGCCTGTCCCTCCATCTACCAGCTGCCAGTACGCGCTCGACAATCGACCGATTCAACGGAGAGTTGTTCATACCCGTACGGGCAGATCCCCAGCTTGCAGCGCGGCCATCTTCATTGCGAAGTATCCTCCAGCCAGCAATAACAGCGAGGGGAAGAAACCCAACCACCTTCTATTCAACTCCAGCAACAGCTCTTGTTTGTCAGGCCACAGAACTTTTGACCTCGCCAAACCAACGGTTCTTTCCCGAGCCTTCCCACCTAGGGAGCTGCACTAGAAACTACCTTACATTCACCTCTACCTTGAGCTCTCAGCTTTTCCCTTCCAGCACAAACACGCTAGCCACAGACTGCGCCCTGCGCCCTGCAGCCCTGCTCGCAACCAACCTTGCGACGGCCCACAGCCGACACCTTCCCCGACTTTACCTGCCACCACCTTGCCAACTGATCGATCCCCCGATCTCCAACGACGCGTCTTTCGCAAAGCAGTCGCAGCACCACCATCGCATCGACCTCCACAAGTCGCCATCTTCCATCAGCCATTGCACCCACTGCATAGACGGCAGCTATCTGCAACTCGTATGATAGAGAGCGCATGTCTCCGCGACCACTGCCCACCAATTTTTGATGGATCACAAGCGCAAGTCGTCCGCCGCAAATGGCGCGACCGAAGGTGCTGATGAGCGCGCCGCAAAGCGCCTCAGATTGTCACAGGTGAGCTTTTGTTCTACCCCTTCCCCATGCTGTCCTTGGTCACTCGCCTCTTGTTCGCCCAGCTTTGATGGCCCGGATCTGCTCTTGCAACCTGTCCCCTCCCGCGTTGCATTCTCACAATGACTTGCCTGCAACCTCCGGGGCCAGCCGACAGCCAGGCCAACCCGCCATCACCAACCATTTATCCCACAGTACCCCAGTCTGCCTGAGCTCCTAGCATCCACCAGCAGTCTCCATACCCCTCCATAAGGCATCCTACGAGAAGCAGAGACGAAATAGACAGGCTGATATCACCACTACGCAGAAATACAATCTCAGCAAGCAAGAGACTGTCGAGTCTACCACCGAACATGGCCTATTCTTCCTGGAACAGATCCGCCAGACCAAAGATAAGAAGTGAGTCTATCCTTGACGTACTACGATGCATCCATGACCATCAAAACCTGTTTGGAGGTGCACAGCCATCTAAACAGTAGACGCTGACAATCCATTCTTCCAGTGGCCGGCTCGTGGCAGGATACTTCGAAAAGCTCCCCTCAAAAGAGAGCACCCCCGAATACTACAAGAAGACGCGCATGCCGATCTCGCTGTCCATGATTGAACGGAAGCTCAAAAAGGGAGACTTTTCTACCCTGACCGAGCTCGAGAGCTACTTCAAGCGCATGGTGACCAACGCGAAAGAGTTCTATCCTCGCAACACCCAAATCTTCGACGATGCCGAGAGGGTCCGAAAGGCTCTCAGCAACTACATGACCAAGACGAACCCTGCATACAACGGTGGCAACTACAGTGCCGTGCCGACGCCTCTGCCTGCCTCTGGTGTTGTAGACGAAGTTGAGGAGGAAGACGAAGACGACGCGACCCCTGCCAAGACGGGCCGCCGCAAGTCCCAGGGAAATGCGAGGCCTGCGGAAAAGCAGCCCGAGGTCGACGAAGGCGATGAGGACGAAGACGAAGATGCCGAGGAAGATGAAGATGAAGAGGATGAAGAGGAAGAAGAGGAAGACGACGACGCCGAGGGAGAAGAAGACGATGATGAGGAGGCGAGCCAGTCCTCAAAGCGCGCGGCGATAATCATCCGTCGCAGAGGCCCTGGCAGACCTCCCAAGGGAATGACGCCGCGCAAGTCCAAGGGTCGTACTAGCACACCGAGTCGTCCTGACTGCGAGTACGAGGACGTTCCGTACAAGGGTCTCACTTTCCAGGCCGCGCAGGAGAAGATTGTGGAAGAGATGCTGCGCAAGCGAGAAGACGAGTATGTCACCCTCTTTCAGGAACTCACAACTGCATCCGTACTGATTACTTGTGCAAAGGCCCGAGGCGTACTTCGAGCCTTTTGTCAATCTACCTCCCCGTGCCCTCAAGGACTATTATCGGGTCATCAAGGAGCCCATCTCAATCAAAAAGCTCCAGAAATCTGTCAAGGGAGTCAAGGGACGAAATGAAGCCACGGGTACCAGCGAGTTCAAGAACTGGGCTGCGTTCGAGGAGAGCGCTAGCCTCCTTTGGAAGAACGCTTGCTTCTACAATGAAGAGGGAAGTGAGATTTACGAGTTAGCCCAGGAATTGAAGGTGAGATTTTCGGCGGGAAACGGCGATCCTTCATGGTAGAACTAACTGGGGTCAAGGAATTCTTCCTGGATGAGCTGAAGCAGGCCAAAGCAGTTGTCCCAGAGCCATCACAGCCAAAGATCAAGTTGAAGGTACAGCAACCTGCGGCAGAGCAGCCTACTACGTCCAAGAAGATTACAATCCATGTGGGAGGCAAAAGCGATTCGGCGGACTCACCGGCACCTCCTGTTCCTCAGTCTGCAGGCTCTCAAGCAAGCGAGCAGATCGCCCCGAATGGCACCACGCGTCAAGCTGCTAATCCTATCATGCCAGCTGCGATGGACAGAATTCGAAGCACTTCGGCGGCCTCTCCCAGTCCTTCAGTTGCCAACACTATCAAGCGAGAAGATGTTATGCGCCCTTCTCCTGCCGGTACGCCCGGTCACGCGAGTACACCGTCGGCCTTTCCACCTCCTGGCCAACCCGCAGGACTGTCCAGTGCAACTTTCCAGCCTATCGGTGCTCCGCAGCAACAGGCGCAGCCGAACGGGGTTCAGCAACCTAGCAAGCCTCTCTGGGACCAGAGACTTCGCGCGCCTGGCAAAGGTAGATTGCCGTGTTCTCAGTTTAGGTGACGCCATACTAACAGTTTTATAGGCATTGCGGATGCCCTCATCTCTAGCCTCAAGGTCCAGACTCATCCGATGATCAATCATGATCGTCGGTTTGAAGTTACCGTCAAACCTCTCGAGAAGGTGTCCCAACAGTCGTTTACGGTTCATATGCCTGCCAATCAGCTGAGGATTCAGATCGTTCCGACCTTGCCTGCCTTTTTAGAGAAGGAAGGACGCCAGTACAGACTCTGGGTGATCATCAACCGGCATACACTCACTCCGGTTCATGGAGTTCCAGGTCAAGTGCTTTCAACCGGCGAAAGGGTATTCGAGGCCCAGCTCCAGGCTGGTATTGTCAACACCATCGAGGTCCACGTTGTTGCAGCATTGCCCAAGGGCCAGAAATTGCCGAGTGGTGAAGACTTTGAAGTGGAGCAAATGACGGTGCTCGCCAACGTCGTGAGAAACTAGGAGCCTCCGATCAGCATCAGTGACGCATCCACTTCTGTCGAACTATTGGGGGGACACTTGGTCGGTTCAGACCATCAGCGCACAGAATCGTCGGGTGATGCCGTTGGCTATCGTGACCGTAGCGCTGCTGAACGGGCTGTAGGTTTCCTTGCCCCAACCTTGCAGGCACTTTGGGACAAAGCTGAAGAAAAAAGGGTCCATGGCGATTTCCCGAACCATCTTCTCGATCGGCGCCCCGAGGCATACAACATTAGCGACAACGGTTATACACGCTACCCCCCGATGCACTATTCGAGTCGCGTGCTGTTGCGACCAGATCAAACGCGGATGACTCCGCAAATTGTTCAACCCACAGCAGCGGTTTCGGAGATCAAGCCTCGCAAGCGTTTGCCGGATGACAGGCTGGCTTGGTCCTTGCCACGTGAACAGAAGCCGGATGTGTCGCCCACAGCTTGGTCGAACCTGCCAGACCCGTGGCGCCCGACTCAACCGAAGCCCCAGAGCCAGCCTGAGGTGAGGGAAGAGCCCGGGAGAGGACT